AACTGGAGAGAAAATTGCATTCTACATGCCTACGGGAATCATACTTAGTATGGAAAAACAGTTTACTGTAATATAAGATGACCCTATGTAAAGCATGAGCAGCATATTGCTCATCATTATAAGAGGAGAATAAGAATAATCCTAGATATCTTTTTAATAGAGTTGTCAAACTCACCCAGAGCCATAGCTCTCTGGAACTGTCCATCGCCCCTGCTCTTAGCAGTAATGATTTTATGTGATTCTTTATAAATAAGACATAAAATAACAGAACAACCACATGCCATGTAAACATAAGCTCAGTTGGTTTTTATTTGCCAGAAAGTGAAACCTAAAGTGCCTCAGACAAGAGAAAACTTGACTTCCTTCTCAATCGTTTAATAATAACCAATAAGGGGAGGAGCAGAGATCAGGAGGGTTAAATAATTTTTCACGAAGTGAAACTTTTTCATTATAAGGAGAAATGGCACAGAAAGGAGCTGAGCTGGACCGGGAGAGTTTCTCCTGTTCAATCTGTCTGGATTTGCTAAGGGATCCAGTCACCATTCCTTGTGGACACAGCTACTGCATGAAGTGCATTGAAAACATCTGGGATGAAGAGGATGAGAAAGAAGTCCACAGCTGTCCTCAGTGCAGACAGACCTTCAAACCGAGACCTACCCTGGTGAAAAACATCATGTTAGCAGCTTTAACTGAGCAGCTGAAGATGACTGGATTAGGAGCTTCTCCTTCTACTCACAGCTATGCTGGACCTGAAGATGTAGCCTGTGATATCTGCACTGGGAGGAAATTAAAAGCAACAAAGTCCTGTTTGATGTGTTTGTTGTCTTACTGTGAGAATCACCTCCAGCCTCATTATGATGTGGCTCGGTTAAAGAAGCATCAGCTGGTGGAGCCCTCCAAGCATCTCCATGAGAATGTCTGCTCACGTCACGACGAGGTGATGAAGATGTTCTGTCGCACTGATCAGCAGAGCATCTGTTATGTCTGCACTGTGGATGAACATAAAGATCATGACATCGTCTCCGGTGCAGCAGAGAGGATGGAGAAGCAGAGAGAGCTGGAGGTGAGAAGAGAAGACATCCAGCTTATGATCCAGGACAGAGAGGAAGACATGGTTTTGCTTCAGCAGGAGGTGGATTACATCAACGCATCTGCTGAGAAAGCTGACAGTGAGAGTGAGAAGATTCTCTTTGAGATGATATGTCTCATCCAGCAAAGGAGTTCTGAGTTGAAACAACAAATTAGATCCCAGCAGGAATCTGAGGTGAAACGGGTCAAAGAGTTTCAGAAAAAATTGGAGCTGGAAATCTGTGAGTTGAAACGGAAAGAAGTGGAGCTGGAGCAATTCTTACACATAGAGGATCACAGCTTTTTTCTCCAGCACTTTCCCTCACTGTCATCTCTCAGTGAGTCTGACGGCTCATCCAACATCAATGTTCGTCCTCTGAACTACTTTGAAGACGTAACAGCAGCTGTGTCAGAGCTCAGAGATAAATTTCAGGATATCCTGATGAGCAAGTGTGCAGAGATCTCTTTTAGAGTTACTGAAGTGGATGTTTTACTGTCTGAACCAGAACCAAAGACCAGAGAAGACTTCCTAAGATATTCCACGAAAATCACCCTGGATCCAGATACAGCTCACACAAAGCTACTGATCTCTGAGGGCAACAGGAAGGTGGTCCTAATGAACCAAAGTCAAGTTTATAACGTTCACCCAGAGAGGTTCATTGTGCCATTTCAGGTTCTGAGTAAGCAGAGCATCACTGGACGAATTTACTGGGAGGTAGAGTGGGGAGGAATGGGATGTTGTGTAGCAGTTGTACACAAGGATGTCAACACAGCAGAGAGTGAATTTGGAAGCAATAACAAATCATGGGCTTTACTTTGCAGCAAAGACAAACATGAGTTTTTGCACAACAACACCAGGGTTCCCATTTCAGATTCGGACAGCTCAAGAATTGGAGTTTACCTCAATCAAAAAGCAGGTACTATATCTTTCTACAGTGTCTCGGAGGCAATAACACGCCTTTTTAAAGTTAAGACCACCTTCCCAGACCCTCTCTATACAGGAATAAGTCTTTTCTTCAGTTGTGGTGATACTGCTGAGATCTGTGAACTGTAAAGATTTTCTTCAGAGGCCAGCTTAACAAGTCTGTACTGAACTATGGAATTTTCCTGGGCATGCCTTGTCTTATTCTGTCTTATGCAAGCTTACCTATGATCCTGATTGTAATTAGTTACAAAAAAGGAGAGATGAATAAAGACTGCTCAGAGATCAGACATCTTTCACCATCTCAACAGCACATGATAAAGCCAATAGCAAATTTGCTTGTGTGTTCTTTTTTTAATTTTGACTACTTTTTATTTAGCTTCTCACCTGTCTGTGGTTTATCTTTAATATTTTATATGAATGTATGGTTTTTAAAAAATGTTTTTGTCAACATTTAAATTGTTAAATGGACTCTGAAAGTTTACAGAAACTTTAAAAATATTGTTATTTCCTATTATTCTTGATTAACACCTTAATTTGTTCAAGGAAATCGAATGTGCACATCAATAAACTGCATTAAACTAATGCTTCAGTCAACAAAATAATTGTCATTTGCTTGATTCTTGGATTGACATCAAACTCAATAGTTATTTGGCTTTAAAATATCATGAAGATGTTCTTTCTAAATCACAAAAAAAAATGTTCTTTATGGCATTTCAGCAACAAAATAACCATCCATATTAAGACACTTTAGAAGAAATACTCAGCAATTTTGAAATATTAATATGACTTCATACAGGATAATTTTAAGCTGGCCTCTAGCCATTTCTAAGAAACTTTTCTGGATCTGCTCATGACATTCTAATTGTGAATAATATTTTCGAAAGAAAAGTGTTTCAGTAACTCCAAAACCGATTAAAAATTTGAGACTCAAGGATCAGTAGCTTACTGATTGTATATTGAGAACGTTATAAGTGTAGCCTTTGACACTGCTGAGAATAAAAAAAAAAAAAGTAAAATGGACATAATGCTGCGTTAGATAACCATGAGCAAAGCAAAAATGAAATTAAATAATAAAATTAAGATTTTAGTTTAAACATGTTAATGCTGTGTGACAACTTAAGTAGTTTCACTAAGTTGTATCTAAAAGAATTCAGCCTAATTCATGTCATCGGTTATTTATCTCCACTGATTAGTAGAAGAGCTTTTGCTTCTTGGCTTTTTTTTTTTATTTCTTGTTCCACATATTAAGCAATTACAGCTCTTAGAAGACGGCGTCACACCTAGTAACGGGCCAATACATGTCCTCAAGAAAAAAAAATTATTCTTTACCCTATAGCTCAGTGTTGATGGAGTTATGAGTTCCCAGCGTACTGTCTTAGACAACGTAGCCCCTTTCAAAAAGAAAAACTTTTAGACAACATTTAATGTCAATTTCATTTTATACAGCTCTCATGACATTTCCAGTTTCTTAAAGTACAGCAGTGATCAAATGTGAACATTGTTGGACAAAAAACATGGTGCAATAAAATACATTGATATGGTCAGTTTAAGTTTGTGACATGATTGAGAGTTTAAAAGACTACAGGTCGGATTCGAACCCAGGTCAGCCGCATCGAGGACTAAGGCCTATGCAACCACTGCTTCAAAATTAACTCTCTGCATTTAAGCCATCACCTTGGGGAGCAGTGGGCTGCCATTGTGCCCAAGGTGATGGCTTAAATGC